GCCGCTTTGCACAGCCACAGCCATGCTATGCAATGAACGCGCGGCGGCATGCAACTCCCAATGGAGCCGCAGCAACGCACCCGAATTGAGTGGGCTAGCGCTGGGGAATGCACAACACAGGCATGCGTTGCAATGTGCAGCAGGGAGGAGACCATGGAAGTCGTTGTACCTATATAGAAAAAAGTGTTTGCGCGCGCTGCATGACTCCTACACTTTGTAACAGATCACACCTCGGCTATGGCGGCTGTTGGTTTTGTAAAGCCAGCAGTGCGACGCACAGTGGGGCAAACGTGAAATTTACTATTCAAAAATAACTACAATTCTTCACGGATTTTCAAAGTTTGTTTGAAAAAAAAGTTACATATTTAAAAGGGTTTTCAATGTATTTTGTTTTTATAGTTAACGGTTTTGATAAAAAAAAAAAACTAAGCGAATTATACGAATTTCTGATAACTGGAGAATTCGTTAGCCAATCAATATAAGTGGTATATCATATGACAGGCAATTGAATTTTCTATATTTTGTTGATAATTCATTTTTCATTAAAAACACACGTTTTCGAGCAATTTTTATTTTCAAAAATGTAAAATTTTGTCTACTCATTTCTTTGAAATAACATTTAAAAAACTATGGACATTTAACAAATAACGCCTTGGGGTCACGCAGAAAATTTGGTTGTAGCAAAGTGGGTTAAAAAAGTGAAAATTGTAAAAACAAAACTAATTTTAGAAAGTAGTCCATTAAGCTTCTTAAGAAATTATTAATTTTTCATTTACAAAAAAAATTAAGAATCCGTCAAAAATTGTAGTAAGTTCCGCTTTTGCACCACTGTGCGGCATGCGTGATTTGCTGCTGCGCTCTGGGCGCTGGGTTGTGTTTGTGGCAGCGCTGCAGTCTGTCCTGCTTACAGCTTTTATTGCTTGCGTTGCATTTTCATTTTCGGCGCTGTTTATGCTGTTTATTTTGTAAGTTTCTTTCTTTTCCGTGCCAACTTTATGTGCCCTGCAAGTTGCAAGTTACAGCCAACCACAGGCAGCTGCATTGCTGCATTGCCGCACTTTTATTTTATTTTTTATTTATTTTTTTATTTGCCCCAAATTTTTTCTTTTTATTTCTCAAAGTTTTCGCAATCGGCGGCAGCACTCCTTTTTCGTTTCGTTTCGTTTGGTTGTTTTGCAACTTTTTTAGGCTCATTTTCTGCAGATCTTTCCTTGGCTAAGCACACAAAAATAAGCGCAAAACTGGAACACACGTGTCAAAAATTGTGCAGGCGTTGCGAAAATTTTGTGCTCACTAAAATTTACGAAGGAGTTGCCAATAGATTTCGTACTTCTTCTCTTCAACTCGTTCATCGCGCTGCCACTTAGCTTGAATGCAAATGTGTATATTGTACGCGTAGTGGGTTGCCATATGCGCCCGCATTGCCATTGTTTATGAATATTTTCGTTTCTATTATTGGCTTTTAGTTGGAGAAGAAATAAACTTAGCCATTTAAATTAATTGGTATTTATTGTGCCGAAATTCCTATGCGGCTATAAAAATTAACACGATTTGCTTTTATAGCGCGCGTATTTCATTTGGCGATTTTTGTGCAAATTGCAGCAGAAACAAAAGTGAATTAATGAAATGCTTTTGTGCTGATTTCTTTTTTAGCTTTTGACAAACTTGGCGTTTGTTGTACCCATACTCGTACACCTACATACATACTTACTATACATACAAATAAACATAAATTTATTATCTGTTGGTATTTCATTTTATGGCTTATGACAATGCATAATTAATGAATGAAATAATATTGTGTAGTTAAAATTAGTAATTGATCGTCGCTTTACAGTGCAGTTCTGGCAACTATGTACATATGTATCTTGAAAGCTCTTTCGAAAGACTGATTAAAAGATCTGCTAACGAAGAGGTCTTACTGTTATGTTGTTCGCCTTTTAGCTATAAGTTTTTTTTTAATAAATTAAATTTAAAAATATATACAGTAAAAACTAA